TGCCCCAAACAGTCCCATTTCCTCCTGTCTTTAACAATCAAACCCTGCAAAGGTTTCCCCAGAAGAGCACACCCAGCCCAGCACTGAAGCCTCAGGACAAACCCAGCGCCGCCTGCGAGCAAGCTTGTCCCCACATGAGAGCGCGGCGTCTGGATGTGGGGTCCAGCGATGCTCCACCTGGCTCGGCCCCTTAGCAGCTGCGGGACCCTGGGCCCTAACTCCTCACCTGGAAAGCCAGGCTACTGGGGCCCCGATGGAGCCGTGAGCCGATGGAGCCGTGAGCCGCAGTGGGGACCAAAGCAGACCCAAGCAAAGGCAGGGAGCACCAAGCCTGGCTCCCTCGCTGTTCCCAACAGGGGACTGGGTCGCACAGCAGGATTGCCATCCGCACGCGGAGGGAAGACGAGAGGGGTCCAGAGGCTGGACAAGCTGGGAGCTAGACGGAACCAGCTGGACACTGGGCCACACCCCGTGGCCCATGTGGCGCTCTCTCCTGTGAAGATGCGTTGGCGAGGCCATGGACAACCACGATGGGCATGCACAAAGGAAACGCAGGCCCAAGGAACCCTTATGGAGGGCCAGGGAGCCATCCCTCGAAACCACCAGGCAGAGGCCACCATGAGCGGTCCCTTAGCAGTGAGAGCTAAGGCGTTTGCAGCCCCCAGAGAAGTCAAGAGGTCCTCAGTTTTCGAGGCCCTAGCTGGAGGTGAGACCAGGCTGCCCCTGTCCCAGGGCAGGAGGGTTTCGGTGACTAGGTCAGGGGCTGCCACCAACCGCAGCTCCAAAGCCCCTCCCCACACGAGGCCCTCTCCCATCACCCCCTAGGGTTCTGGCCAAAGGCCAGCAGGTCCCCAGGACTGGGGAATGGGCCGGGAAGTGGGAAGCAAAGGACTGTGTTTCCCACTGAGGGGCCAAAGTGGGCTCTACAGGAGCCAGAGGGAGGCCAGAACCTTCCAAGGAGGGCTCGCCGGCCACAGAGGCAGACGTGCGGCAGGCAGGGCAGACTCAGATGCTTCTCTTGCTTCAAAGCTCAACATTTTAAAAAAAAGAAAAATTTATTTGAAAGCCCTTATTGTCTGAGACTTTCTTTAAATGATCCTAAGAGGAGAGCAACGGAGGCCTGGCTCCGTGGTGGGCAAACGTTTTCTGTAAAGGGCTGGATAGTAAATGTTTCAGGCTTTCAGGGCCAAGAGGCGAAACTGATACGGTGTTTAAGCACAATAGAAAGAGAATTTCCATAATTTTGTTGGGGGTGTGTGCGTGTGGGAGGGTTGCACTTCATTTAACTGGGTTCACAGACAACGTCCCGTCATTAAATCAATGGCAAAAGCAGGCAGTGGGCTGGGCTGGGCACCGCTTGCTGACCCCTAGTGAGGGTGAGCACCTGCTGATAGCCGAAGTGAGGGGATGGTGTGGGCTGATCATACTGCTGTCTCTTTGGTCAAACCTGAACTTTCCCTGGGCCCTGCAGCCCACTCCAGAGCTCCTCAGCACAAAGGGCACGAGGACAGGCCACACGCTGGCCCTTTGGAGGGGGCAGTTTGGCTGCCCGGATGGCAGGACCGGCCAGCCCTCCCCACCTTGTCCCCCAGCTGCCCACGCCTCACAGCTACTTCCTACGGACACTGCCTCTAGAAGGGCCCGGAATGGTGGAGGGGCCAGCACAGGAGCTGCCGCTCGGATCTGTTAGCTGTTACCCACGGGGGTCAGGGGACAGGGGAGCGCCGGGGGGGCGTTTTGGGAGGGGTGTGTGGGCTTTTGGGGGGTTTTGGTGTTCTCTGGGTGTGCTCGTCGGGTGGTGGTAGGGGGGGGGGGGTGGTGTCCTCAGCAGCTCCTTGGTGGTCTCCTCTTGTGGTGGTGGGGCGGAGGCAGCGAGCCGGGTGGCGTCGTGCTGGAGGCGGTCGTGTTGTGGAGGGCCTCCTGGGGGGTTGTTGTTGTTGGTGGTTGTTGCTTCTTGTTGCTGCTGCTCGTAGAGGTGGTTTCTTGGGGGGTCGTCCTCCTTAGTGGTGCTGGTTGCTCCCCCCGGGGGGTCCTCGGAGTGTTGTGTTGTATGATCAGGAGGGCGTTGTCTGGCTCTGGGGGAGCTTGTTTTCCCCAAAGGCAAAGGTCTCCACACCTTGCGAAGCTGAGGCCTTCCCTGGCTGTGCTCACGGCAAACTCAGGAGCGAGGAAAGGCACCAGCATTCGCGTGCACTGGCATGCACACACGAGTGCGCGGACACAAGCACGTACACACACGCACATCCGCGATGTAGCTCCAGAACGGGCCACGCTGTGTCCAGTCTCCAGCTGGCAGGAACACCCGAGGGCCACCAGTGTGCTGACGGAGCAGGAGCCCAGGTAGCAGCTAGGGCCGATTCCTACAGACACGTGACAGAGAGGCTCCGACTCCCGGGAAGATGGGCACAGCCTTGCAATGCGGGAGCACTGGTGACACCAGGACCACCAGGACGGGCGCACACAAAGGTCACCTGCCCACTGCAGGGTTTCCATGGAGGGAAAACAGGAAAGCCCTGGTGACCATGGATTCATGCTGTGACTGGCCCACACAGACTGCAGGTCTCCAAGCCTGTATTTCTAAGGGGGTGGGTGAGGGGAACAACAGACCCAGAGAGGCCAAGAGATTGATGCTGAATGGGGGTCTGAAGCCTTGGACCCCGACTCTCGGTCCCCTGCTGGTCCCTCCCCCTGTACCCCAGGCAGTGCCAACACCTAGGCCCCCACCCCCAGCCCTCCTCTGCTCCCCCACAGCTCTGACAGCCTAGGGGCTTTCTCCCTCTGCCCCAGTGACAATAGCACAGGGAGCTTTTCCATTGATTTCATCAGGTCGTTAATGATTTTCAGATCTTCAGTTACTCAGGCCAGCCCCTGAAGCAATGCTGGACTTGGAAATTTGTGACCGCTGTTTGGCAGCTCCAGGCTGCTCCTGGTAAAGCCCTCTCTGGGTTAACTGCCGGCCTAAGGGGCCCACACTGCCTGGGCCAGAGGTCACTAGGACAACGCCTGACCTTTGTTTCGGACCCCAAGCCAAGGCTTTGGCCTCCCCACCCTGTCCTGCCCCTTCCAAAGGCACACAAATCCTATTGTCCCCTTACTCAACAGCCTCTGTCCCTTGATTGTAAAGCTGCAACCTGGTAAACAGGAAAAGGTTTATCACAGCCCTGCAAACAGACACTTGTCCAGCAGGTAGACAAAGAGTGAAGAACTCAGCTTTGGGTAAAGACGGTGGCCTGAGCACACGTCTGTCTTCTTTCCCTCCGAGGGTCACTTTAGAAAGCTGCTGCTACCAAGGAGAAGCCACAGCTGGGGGTGGGAGGAGCGGGCCCTGGGAAGAGCTGCCCAGACCTCTGGACTCAGAGCTCACAGGAAAGACTGGGAAGGAGTGGAAAGTTTACGGCTTTTCTGTGCTTTCATCAAATGAAAAACAAAACCTATAGCTTTGACTCCCGTGGAAGGGACAAGCTGCTGAATTAGGCAGCTGAGACATTTTGGTACCAAATTACCACATATACCCTTTTTGGTATCCATTATATTCCATTCCTTTGTAAAAGCTACAAGATTTAACCATAACCATTAGAAGGTAAGCAGAGCAGATGCCAGGAGGCGTGTCATAATATGGAAAACTCGACTGACAGCAAACTTAAGGTAACAGACCTTTATTAGACCCTCTTTTGGAATTAAGTAAAATATTAGCCCACCACATTTCTTTTGAGAATTAAAATGCAGCCTGCCATCACTTGGCATGGGCAGTAGCATCACTTAGGTATAGTGACTACAGACGCCCTGAAGGGCCACGGTCCATTCCTGGGTCTTCCGCTAATGGGCCGTGTGACTTCGAGCAAATTATTCCACTTCTAAGTGACTCAGTTTCCTTGTGACTCAAAAAGGGAAATAACTGGTCTTGACCTTCCCCTCAGACTAGTGTGTAGAGCTGGAACACTCACCAAGACAGACTGCAGAATGTCAGAGAGGCAGGACCCAGTACTGCCGAGACAGGCAAAGGGGGAGCTGGCAAGAATAGGACAGAAAGGCAGCTGTAAAAATGGTGGGACCAAACAAGGAATGAATTAAAAAGAGAAAAAAGGGAAGCTTCCAAATGATAGCACCAAGTCCCAGAAAAAAAAGATCCAGTAAGAACCAGTGACCTTTAGCAAGGGTGCTAAGACAATTCCATAGAGATGGGGAAAGAACAACCTTTTCAACCATCAGTGCTGGGACAAGTGAACATCCACATGGAAAAGATTGAAGCTGGACCCCTACCTCACACCATATACTAAAATTAACTCAAAATGGACCAAAGACCATTGTAAGAACTATAAAAATTCTTAGAAAGAAATATAGGCATAAATCTTTTTGACCTTGGATAAGGCAATGGTTTCTTAGACATGGCACCAAAGGCACAAGTGACAAAAGAAAAAACAGGTATCTTAGACATCATCAAAATAAAGTTAAGGCTGTGTGCAGTGCCTCACGTCTATAATCCTAGCACTTTGGGAGGCCAAGGCAGGAGCATTGCTTGAGGTCAGGAGTTTAGACCAGCCTGAGTAAGAGCAAGACCCCATCTCTACTAAAAATAGAAAAAAATTAGCTGGGCAACTAAAAATAGAAAAAAAAAATTAGCCAGGTGTGGTGGTACACTCCTGTAGCCCCAGCCACTCAGGAAGCTAAGGCAGAAGGATGGCTTGAGCTCAGGAGTTAGAGGTTGCTGTGAGCTAGGCTGATGCCCCAACACTCTAGCCTGAGCAACAGAGCAAGACTGTCTCAAAAAAAAAAAAAAAATTAACTTTTGTGCTGCAAAGGACATCACCAAGAAAGCAAAGAAAACCCACAGAATGAGATAAAATTTTTACAAATCATAACTCCAATAAAAGACCTGCATCCAGAATATATTATACAAAGAGCTCATACAACTCAATAATAAAGACAACCCAATTAAAAGTGGGCAAAGTATCTGACTAGACATTTCTCCAAAGATACATATGGCCAATAAGCACATGAAAAGATGCTCAACATCACTTGCCATTAGGGAAATGAAAATTAAAACCATAACGAGATACCACTTCATACCCACTAGGATGCAAAAAGACAGGTAAGGGCAAGTGTTGGCGAGGACGTAGAGAAATTGAAACCCTCATACACTGCTAATGAGAACATTAAATGGTGCAGCTGCTGTGAAAAAGTTTGGCAGTTTCTCAAAAAGTTAAATATAGTCACTACATGACCTAGCAATTCCACTCCTATGTATATTCCCAAAAGAAACTACAACATGTCCATATAAAAACTTGTACAAATATGTTCATAGCAGCATTATTCATAATGGCCAAAAAGCAGAAACAACCCAAATGTCCATCAACTGATGAACAGATAATGAATGTGGTACATCCCTACAGTGAGGTACTATTCAGCAATAAAAGGAATTGAGTGCTGACACACGCTCAACCCGAATGGCCCTAGAAACATCACACCAAGTAAAAGAAGACAGTGACAAAAGGCTATATCATATGATTCCATATATATGAAATGCCTAGAATAGGTCAATGTTACATAGAAAGTAGACTCTTGCTTGCCTTGGAGACTAGGGGAGAGGGTTGGGGGAAGGGGGGACTGACAGCCAAAGGGCACAGAGTTTCTTTTGAGAGTGATTAAAATGTTCTAAATTGACAATTCTGTGAATTGATTGTGATTCTGTGGATCACAATCAATTCTAAAAACCATAGAATTGTACACTGAGTAAATTGGATGCTATGTGAATTATATCTCAATAAAGCTGTTGATCAACCCACCCTCTCCACCCCATTGAAAAAGGAAAATGAATCAAGAGCCTATCTTCACTCTGTAGGAACACCATGGCTATTATCCTAACAGCGCCCCTTCCACTCTCAGAAGTGTCCAGTTTATATGATAAATCTGTATGGTTACTCTATCACCACATGGTATCATGCAGGTGACTTTGCACCTCTGGGCCCCAGTTTGCCTGTCTACAAAGCAAGGTTTATCCGATTCTAACAAGCTTTGAGACTAGCACTACATTCCACAAAAGCTTCATTGAGAAGCTGTGAAATCCTATTCAGGTAGTCATAGGGTTCGCCATGGTTTGGTAGATTAACCCAAATTAACAAAGAGCTGCAGCCCTGGGCCAGTGGAGACCACCCGGTCCCAGGAACCAGAGCATAACAAAGACTAATTTCTTTGTCTGCCAGTTACTGATACTTAAATTTCCCATAGCTAGGCCATTAAGAAAGGTGATCCAACCATTTCCATACAGGTACCCTAAACATAACCCCTACAAATGAAAAAAGATAAAAATGTACATGAGGGGCTCTCACAGAAAATACAATGTTCCTAGAAAACTTGGCAAATTCAGCAGTGGTTAACCAAGGTCTGCTCTTGGTATTATAATGGTCAAGGTCACCTGAAGATACAATGGCATGCTCATTTCCTAGTCGTCCTCACCCATGATTGCCCAGGGAGGTCACTCAAGAGGAATCATTTTGTTCTCATCCCTCTTCTACTCATGAGAATGTGCCTGAAAATCATCTTTTTCTGTTCCCACCCCCAACCCCCACAAGGGCCTCAGAATTAGCATCTAGGAGAAAGGCACACGTCTGCTGTGCGGCCACCGTGCCAATGCAGAGACACAAGTGCATCTTCGGGCTTTGCAGCAGAGCCTCAGAAACAAGGTAAAGGCGAAAGAGGTGTAAGGCACAGAATACCCCCACTACTATCAAGTCATCCGGGAACAGGAAGGAGGGATGTTCACCAAGGTCCCTGAGAAGGCAGGCTCCATGAAAGCAGGAGAATGAGGGCAAACTGCTCCTGCGGAGCCAGCAGTGCGGGACGTGGAGCCACCTGCCAGAGACGCAGGTGCAGGTGCAGGGTGAGACAGAGCTTTCTCAGTAGGCAGGACAGAGGCAGGCAGGGACCAATTCAGGGGGCACCAAGATGCCCAAGGAGCCTCCAACTAAGGGGCGAGGGGGTTCAGAGATGATGCCCCCACTGTTTGCCCTCTTTAGAATATCAGGGTTGGACCAACAAAAAGAACAAGGAAGCACTCCAAAGCTGAAGGCCAGGGGAAAGAGAGAACAGGCACTGGCTTCCTGCACCCCGTCTCTGTCCGCAGGCTTCTGCTGGCTGACAGTCTGTATCCGTCACAGACTGGACAGGGTCCCTCCTAGCTCGGCTCGCCTGCTGAGGCTCCGGCTGACAGTGGGGCAATTTCTACGTCGAAGCGGGTCCGTGGGGCTGGGAGTTGGTGGCAGATGCAGGTCCTACTACTGCTCAGAGTCCACATTTCAGGACGATGTGGTAGCCGTCGTTGCTCTCGGCTGCAAGAGAGAAACACCAGCACATTTCACAGGGAGAAAGGCACAGCACCACAGTACTGGGGAGTCCGGAAAGGCGTGGTATTAGGGCGTCAGCAGAAATTGCAAAAATGAGGCTGCATAAAGCAACGTGTGAGACAGAAGCAGGGATTTCAACACATGCCTTGGCAGCCGCTTTGCTTAGCTTCTTTTTGACAATAGCGTAGCCCAAGGCCCAAGGACGAAAGGACCTACAGCCGAGGAGGCTCTGGACAACTGTGGTCCTCGGGCTGTTGCGGCCCCAGGCCCCTAAAGGCACTTGTTGGCTAGATCCACAGAACACGGGGGAATGGCCTGGTCATGGTTCAGGGTCCATGACCCAGACAGAGGACTTTTGTTCTGACACACCCCCCATGCATCCTCCCAGCCCTCAGGAAGGACTCGGTCTTTCTCTACCTTTCGTAAATAAACTCGTGTCCTGGCCCGCGAGCTCTTTCTCAGCAGTGCAAGCAGGCTGATGCCCTCTTAGGACAGGCCCCCGTCCCACCCCCACTCTGCCTGCAGACTCCGCTGCATCCCAGGTTTGATCTTCCCGGACACCTCCAGGAAAACGCAGATGCACCTTGCTTCTACTCGGCACTGAGTTCGTGGAGAACAAATTGCCTGGCCCAGGGTTTCCCTTTCAGAAGTGACTTTGGGGCCAGTCTCACTAGTTCTGGTATTTCTGGGGCTAGGTTTCACAGAAAGTTTGTGTCCTCTTTTTCCCAAAGGCTTTTCCCAGGTAAGCATTCCCGGGAGGGGCCCCACCACGCAGGCAGGCCCCCTTCACCCACCTGGCTCCCCCCCCAGTACCCCAACGGACCGGACCTGGCTCACATGCTTCTTTTTTTTCTTTTTAATAATTTTTCCTTTTTAAGAGACAGGATCTCACTCTGTCACCCACATTGGAGTGCAGTCACACCATCGCAGCTCACTGTAACCCCAAACTCCTGGGCTTAAGCAATCCTCTCACCTCAGCCTCCCGAGGAGCTAGGACTTTAGGTGCACAAACCACACCTAACTGATTTTTTAAAACATTTTGTAGAGATGGGGTCTTGCTATGTTGCCCAGACTGGTCTTGAACTCCTAGGCTCAAGCGATCCTCCTGCTCTGGCTTCCCAAAGTGCTGGGATGACAGGCGTGGGCCACCACACCCAACCCACATGCTTCAATTAAATAAGAAAGTGGGTGGGGAGTGGGAGATAGAGGCAGGCTCTTTACCTTTTAATGTGCTGAGGACAAAACAAGATTCGTCTTGGAAATTCTGCACCATCTGCAAGGGAAAAGAGAGGACATGTTCCCTCAACCATGCGTTCAAAATCTGGGAAGGCTCAGTCAGCTGCACAGGGCGGCAGGAACAGCCCTGCCAGGGTCTACCGATGCAGGCACACGGCTCTGCTACAACATTCGCTGAAGAAATGGCGGGGCAGGATCAATGTGGGACACGATTGCAATTTTACGTAACAGAAACCTGAAGGTGAAGATGGAAAGCGGCCTGGAAGGGAATCAAGATGTGACCATTTAATACAGGACTGCAGTCTTTATTTGTGCAGGTTTTGCTTTCTCTTAGTCTTTTTTTTTTTTTTTTTTGAGACAGAGTCTCACTTTGTTGCCTGGGCTAGAGTGCTGTGGCGTCAGCCTAGCTCACAGCAACCTCAAACTCCTGGGCTCAAGCGATCCTCCTGCCTCAGCCTCCCGAGTACCTGGGACTATAGGCATGCGCCACAATGCCCGGCTAATTTTTTCTATATATTTTAGCTGGCCAATTAATTTCTTTGTATTTTTAGTAGAGATGGGGTCTCGCTCTTGCTCAGGCCGGTTTTGAACTCCTGACCTAGAGCGATCCACCCGCCTCGGCCTCCCAGAGTGCTAGGATTACAGGCGTGAGCCACCGCGCCCGGCCTCCCAGAGTGCTAAGATTACAGGAGTGAGCCACCACGCCCGGCCTGCTTTTTCTTAGTCTGCCTTCCAATCCCCATAATGGAGACATTATAAGAATGTCTGTGGGCAACAGATAAAAGAAAAAAACTAAATAAAATGTTTTTCATAACACAAACCTTGGTAATTAGTACACCTACACATCAGGTCCCACCAGGACAAAATAGGAAGGAGAGCTCCCTCCCCACGTCTATATTTGAGGAAGGAAACAGGATTTCTCAGGAGCCACCTCTCCAGAGCTGTAATTTTGATTAACTACCCAGTGACCTTGGACAAGTCAACCTTTTTTTCCTTTTTGTCTCCCTGGACCCATCTGTAAAATGTGGTTGTTTGAATGATAAAAATATAACCAGGAAGGCCGGGCGTGGTGGCTCACGCCTGTAATCCTAGCACTCTGGGAGGCCGAGGAGGGAGAATCGCTCAAGGTCAGGAGTTCGAAACCAACCTGAGCAAGAGTGAGACCCTGTCTCTACTAAAAATACAAAGAAATTAATTGGCCAACTAAAAATATATAGAAAAAATTAGCCTGGCATGGTGACTCATGCCTGTAGTCCCAGGTACTCGGGAGGCTGAGGCAGGAGGATTGCTTGAGCCCCAGAGTTTGAGGTTGCTGTGAGCTAGGCTGATACCATGGCACTCTAGCCCAGGCAACAAAGTGAGACTCTGTCTCAAAAAAAAAAAAAAAAAAAAAAAAAAATATATATATATTATATATATAATATATATATATATAAAACCAGGATATAGCAACGGGAATCAGCTTCCACAACTGGTGGGGGTGTAAATCTTTAGAGAACTGCCCACATGGCCTAGTAAAGATGACCACACACATGCCCCCACAAGGCTCGTGGCCCAGATAAACTCCTGCATGTGTGCACTCAAAGATGTGCACATGAACAGTTCGAGTGGTACTGCCTGCGCTAACACACAACTCCCATCAACAGCAGAAGCATGAACTAGTCATGATCTAATCGTGTTCTACTCCGAGGTGCCAACCAGCTCCATGTGGTACTCAACATGCAGGAATCTCAAAACTGTAATGTGGAATGAATTCTTTCATTCTTTCAATCTTCTGAAAGTCACAGAAGAATATACCATTATTCCACTCATATAAAGTTTTAAAATAGGCAAAAATAAACAATATATTGAGGAAGAACAGGGAATAATTAGTACAAAATGCAGATTAGCAGGTGGGGGGATTATGAACATATACAAGCCACAAAAGGGCTTCTAACGTAACATTCTAGTCATTTGAGTGCAGGTACATGGGTACTTTAATGATTTATTAAATTGCACAAATAAGTTTTATATATTCTTTCCACATGTGTACTATATTTCACAAAATAGATTTAAAGACTATTAAAATATATATATATATATATAAACATACACACAATACACATACTGACCAGCAATATGCAGTAGCAAAATCCCTTTCCAAATGTAAAAAACACCATGCACATTTTATTGCCTGCCCTGGATTACTGCCTCAAATCTTACAAATCCATCCACCTGTCAAGCCCTGCCCCTCCCCGAGGGACCTAATGATGCGTGAAGTACATTTATTCTATACTGCTGGCCTGCTCCATCTAGGGCTCTTGGCAGCCCGGCCACTTGGGCATGTGAAGCCCTAAGCAGAGCCCACACTGGCTTAATCAGTAACTCCCTTGTTTAATTAAGTGCCCCTGCACCCCAGGGGCCAGCTCCGTGGCTGGCCAGGCTGCCTCCAGGGCTCCGGCAATTAAGAACCAAAGGTTTCCAACTGATTCAGGGTTAAGAGGCAAGGAGACTTTGGGGAATAAGAATTGCCTACTTTAGCCTAGGTGCCATTTCAGTTCTGTTCTCTGCTCCACTTGCTTAACTGCCTACTCTGGAGGGCACAGGGCAAGCCAGGCAAGAAACTTCCTCCAGGGACCCATGAAATGGCAAGGCTTCCCCACATTCTTGGCTTTTGTCTTCACGAAAAGAAAGTGTGTTTTGCTATGCAAAGTGACAAGCCTGCCATGCCACTACAATGCCCACTGCTCAGGGCACGTTCACCTTCCTGGCTACTCAAAGTAAGCTCTCAAGTCAGGAACCGTGAGCTTCATTTTCCCCTTATCTGTAACGTGGGGTGGAAAAAAAAAAGAGCTTCATTAGATTTCAATGGAATGATACAAAAGGAATTCTGAAATGGTGACAAAAATAGCAAGCTGCATGTCAATGTACCGCTGGATCTTTGCTGTGTGTATTTAAAACCCACACCTGCACGCAGTAGGGCACGCACAGACGTGAGCACAGAAAGTTACCTGGCAGAATCACAACCTGCTATAAATTCCTCTAGGAGAAAGAGTGGGGAAGATGAGGGGTTTGAACATTTGCCTTGTGCTCCTCTATATTGCCTAACTTCTTACACTAATTATGAACTACTTTTTAAATTAAAAACGAAGGAAAAGTCCACCTTGCCGCCTTCCATGATTGAGATGAAGTGCTCGTGAACATTAAAGGGCTCTGGCAGTTGTAATGACAAGTGGCAATAGGATTATTACTAATAATGACGACTTATGAAATACACAGACCCTTAAAAGCCTTACCTTTTACACATCCCCCAATCTAAAAAGATCTCTCCACCGCTGGCTCCCCAAAATAACAAGTGCCCAGCACAAGCACGTCAGTGACAAGATCCACTGCTTATGCAGCGTCTCCTGGTACCTGATGCTCTGTTCTTATTTTATCCTTACTGCAACCTGATGGGTATATTCATCCCCATTATGCAGATGGGGAAACTGAGGCACAGAAAGGTTAAGTAAATTTCCCCAACATGGCTCTCAGCTAGGAGGCAGTTCTAGGTAGGGACATGAGCACAATTCTACAGCCCACATTTTCTCTACTTTTACCAGCCACCATTCTTGTACACAATTTTCCGTATAATCCTCACCAAAGAGGATTTTGGAATTCCCGGAACTGACTTAGGGTCTGCTGGGGCCTGAGCTGGGGGTTCAGGGTCCCTCCCCTGCTCCCACCAGCACAGCTTCAAGTTTAAAGGCTTCAGTTCAGGAGGGGCTGAATACCCTGCAGGCAGAGTACTGGCGTTCCCACCAGGGCTCCACCCCGTGCCAAACGTGCAGAGGCAATTACTCAGCCTCTCTGTGCCTCAGTTTCCTACAGCACCCACCTCCTACGGAGGCAGCCAGAACTAAAGGATTTGCTATGCGTGCTTACAACAGTGGCCAGGACATACATCAATGGTGGCACGTGTTACTACTATTACCAGGAGGAAGGAGTCCAGGGCAGAGCAAACCGAAAACCTCTGTTCTACAATGGACAAGGAATGTCTAAACTTGAGAGCAACCCTGTTCAATAACCCTCCCCTTGGCCATGAGTGGGACAGGCCCAGGAAGCCCGTGGCACCCTTATCACTCCAGAGGCCTCTGCTCTCCTCTCCCCGAAGCCACAGCCTCTCCGTCACCCAGCCCCCAACCCACTTGGCCTCTCCCGGGGGCCTGCGCCCACGTTAGGGGAGTGCCCTCCCTGCCCGTCTGGGGCAGGGCGGAGTCTGTGCTTCTGGCTCCTGCATGGCATCCAGCCAAGGGAGGGGTGACGAGTGGCTACTCGGCAGGACAGCCATTCAGACCGAGACAGCCACAGCAGCCGAGAGCAGGTGGCACGTAGATAAACCTGTCCATCCCCACCAAGCCCCAGGAGTGTGTTTCTGTTGCAGGGGTTCTATGCCCCTCGGCAGCGCCGGCCGGGCAGCAGCCCTCACCTCGTTGCTCACCACCACGTGGATGCCCGTGGGGCCCTGCCGGTACACTCGCTGGATGTGCTGGGGGGAGATGCTGTACAGGTTGGCGATCTTCTCGATCAGCTCCAAGGTGGTCAGCTCCTCCAGGAAGATGGCGTGGTACACTGGGGAAGGGGGGACAAGGCCTGCTTTCTGAGTGGCCACGAAATCAGCACGAGCCTGCCCACGCCCCTCCACCCACCCTGAGAACGCAGTGAGTCTGCAAAGGATGCTTGTGCCCAGGGCCGGTCTGCAGGGCCAGGCTGTGACGCCCGGGACGCTCACGGGAACATAGAGATGCCAGCCTCGTGCCAGACCCACTGACACCCATCTGGCAGTGCAGGGGCGCCTGGCGCCTCTGACAGTAGCCAGATGTGCACCCACACGGGAAAATCCTGTGTCCCTTTTGCACTCTTTCCACTGTTGGTAGTGCTATTGGATGGCCTCACGTGGCCAAGAGTGACATTAAGGATAAGTGGTCTTCACCCTTTCCCATAAAAAATCCCACACTCGGTTCAAGCACTGACCCCCGGGGAGAAGGGGACACCAGGGGGCACAGCTTTGTCAGCAAGCTGGAGACAACGGCAACACTGACGCTGGAAACCTGCCTTAGATGCTGCCTGCGCCAGCCAGGCAGAAGGACCAGGGTGGCTTACCCAAGTTCCGGGGACCCCGAGTTCCTCAAAAGCAAATGCAATTAGATCAAATGAGAGGTTCCCAAACCTCCCCTCAACTAAGGCAGCTTGTTCAGACAAACCCGACTGGAGGCGCAGTATTCTAAGAGCTGCTCACAGGGTGGCCCCCTCCGAAGAGGGCAGCAGAGGCCACCGGGACCCAGCCGCACACCAGACCCCAGGACTCCACATGGGCCGACCGCGGTCAGAAGTGGCTACCGGGCGACACTCCTCCCAGCACTCGCGGCAGGTGCGGATCCCCGGCCCCTTCTCTAAGGCTCCCTTTGGTGACAGAATTCTAACTGTGCTTCTCTTTGCAACTTTTCAGAGCCAGTTCCATCGTCTCCTGATCCTAGTCCCAGCATGCCGCAGGCTGCGGCGGGATCCCAGGCGGGCACCCGTCTCCCCTGCCTCTGCCGCCCAGTGACAATGGTGCCAGAGTAATCAGAGGGCGCAGGGTGGCCGGCGCCCCGCAGAGCTCGCCCCACGCCTCCTCCGTCAGGAGTCCCGGGAGCCGTGTAAGGAAACAAGAGGCCTCAGAGCGGCGACCCTGGGCGCTAATCCCGACTCTGCCGTTCAATGGAAGCAAGACCCAGGATGGTCCCGACGCCTTCCCGGGCCCTGGGATGTGCACCTGGCAGCGCCCGCACGGCAGGGCCGCCACGAGGGCAAACCCACGCTGCATGTGGACTCCAGGGGACCGGCCGTCCCTTACAGGGGAGGCCTGCACATTTGCTGGAGGCCAGGCTGCGGGGCCGACGTCTGGTCCCGGCTCTGCCCCGACTCACCACACAGGCCGCTGTCCCCGCTGCCCTCCCGCTTCTGCTGCAGCGGCACTCGGTTCTGCTCCAGCTCCTGGCACACGTAAATGGTCATCTTTGGCCTCACGTTCCTGGAGGGGGGAGAAGAAATAGAAAGCAGGTGTGGGGAACCAAGTGCTGTTGTTCCAGAATGTTCCAGGGTGGAAACAGTGGTGGGCAGAGCTTGGGGAGGAAGCTCCCCACTGTGGTGGGGACGGGAAACACCGGTCATGGTTGGGGGGCTGCCTAGAAGCCAAGGGCTGGGCCCTTGCCTGCTCGCAACCCGCCGAGGGGTGCTCTGCCCAGAACATACATCTCAAGACAGCAGGCGTTTCCCAGGCGGTAAGTAGAGCAAACACTGTCTCCGGCTTCCTGTGCGCCAGGCGCTGTTCTCAGAACTGTGCACGCACATCTCACGTCACCTCGCACATCCTGCGAGGGAGCTGGGACAACCGCCCTCCCCTCAGACGAGGGAACTGGGGCTCACGGTTTCCCCCACTGCACAGCACAGAAGAGGCAGATCTGGGGTTCAACGCCAAGCACTCTCTCTCACTGAGCTGTGTGTGGCTGCTAAAATTTAAATTCACCAAAGTTAAATGAAATTTAAAACTCAGTTTGTCCATCACATCAGCCTCGGTCCAAGTCTCTACAGCCACTAGTGGCCAGTGGCTCCTGTAGTGGACGGCGCGGCTGCGGACCACTGCCACCGTGGCGGGAAGGTCTACAGGGTGGCACTGCTCCGGCGTCTGCCCTGGAACTGCTACAAGATGCCAACTGACCCGCCCCCATCCATGGCTGTCCAGGAAGAAGGCAGCTCGGGGCCCAGAGCAAACAGGTACGGGGCTGAGATCCAGAGGCCAAGACTCCCATAAAAACAAAAAGAGGAAGTGGCTTCCAGGCAGGGGTTGCACTGGCTGCAACTCCCGAGTTGCGTCTCACTCCCCTGCGGCAGCCTACGGCCCTCTCCCCACACTCCTCCTACACTCGCAGCCACACTGCAGGAAGGGCTCTGCCCAGGGACCCATCCCCACCAGCCAGCCCACCCTCGCCCAAGAGGCTGAGGTCGGGGCTTCCTGCCCTGACGCGGCTAGGCAGTGTCCTCCGGCCAGCTTCCCAGAGAATCCCACACCCACCTGCCTTTGATGGCATTGAAGAGCCGGATCCCATCTGCAGGACCACAGACCTGCACCAGGTCATCTCGGGACATCTTCAGCAAGTCAGCACCTAGGCAGGACAGCCTGTTGGTTTCATGGGACTGGAGGAGGGACTCCACCCCCTGCAGATCCCGCACTGCGGGCGGGGGTGGGGAAGAGCCAGCCTCACCCTCTGTGGGCACCAGACATCCCACAGACAGAGAAACGACGAAAAGCTAAACGATACCAGATGGTCACAGCCCAGGAGACATGGGTGCTCACAAGAGCGAGCAGAACAGAAGCCAACAGGCGCTCACTGCCTATTGCCACCCCCCACGCTTTACTCTGTATGGACGTATGATGTGTGCGTAGATTTCGTCAGCCCGCGGCACTGGCTACGTGTGCATCTCTCTATACACAAGTACATGGTTGCTGGATGCTGACAATCCGAATACACCTGAACCCAGCACGCAGACCAAGAGGCAGAACGTCAGCCTCCCATAGGCCCATCCTGCGTCACTCCCCTCCACCTCTGGGGACGCCATCCTGCTGTCCTGCAGTGCAGACGAGCCTTGTGTGTTCTCTGAAGTTTGTGCACATGGACTTGAACAGCAGGCATTCTTCCAGGGCCGGCTTCCCTCCCTCCAGGTCACGTGTCAGGGTTTATTCATGCTGAATGTAGTTACAGGCTGTGCACGCCCATTGCTATCACTCACTCACTGCGTGAATATACCACAATCCACGTACCCGCTCTCACGGATGGGCCGTGGGGGAGTGTCCAGGCTGGGGCTGTTACGAGCAGGTTCTGTGAACATTCTCAACCCTGTCTGTGGTCAGTACATGCGTACGTGTCTGCCGGCTCTACCCCAAGAGCACTGCTGGGCCCTGGGCCCACGTGTGTTTGTCTCCGGCAGACACAGCCTAAGCGTCTCCCATGGTGCAGCATCCCCATGTATGAGGACTGGCTCCTGCTAAAGGACACAGGATGGCACTGCCTCATGGCGACAGAGGAGAACAGTGGGGTAAGAGGTGAGCATGAGGAAGACCCCTTTTCTCAAAGCCCAGAGGTGCCCAGAGCCTGAGGCCACGTGGACTGTCCAAGGTTCAGGTGTGACATCAGCCTGTGCTGAGAACCTGCCCGCAGCCACAGCTCCCACCCCTTCCTCCTGCTGCAGCAAGACGGTTTGAGACACAATCCTGCAGGCACAATGGCTCCCTCTCCATTGGGAGTAAATGCCAAAGTCCTCCCACTGTTCTCCCAAGGCCCCGACCAGTCCGTGCCCCTCAGGACCTCTCTGACCCCATCTCCTCCCCAGGGCCACCCCACCCCAACCCCCAGGGTCCTCCACTCTACAGCCACCCAGGCAGGTGCCCACCTTACGGCTGACCACCCTCCCGAAGAAGGCAGCCCACCCTCTTCCCCGGAGCCCCGACCCCACCACAGATGGTCTCGGCACTGAGGTGGGTGATCTATGTGTCTCCACCGACTCAAAGCCGCACGGCCCTTGGGCAGAGTCACTGTCCGCCCTCCTCGTACCCTCCCCCAACAGAGGCCCTTGGCGGGCCGCGCCGGCAGGTGAAGGATGGTGTTCCCCTTCCGCTGCCACAGGTGTCCTCGGGAACTGCCCCTCTAGCTGTGGACACACCTGCATGCTGTCACTCGGGATTGACTGTACTTGGTGGCCAGGCCCACTGCTCAGTTCATCTCACCGAGGGCCTACCAGGGCTTCAAAACCCTTTTAAAGAAGGAAGAAGCAGTTTTCCTTGTGACTTCACCTCACTCTCCCAGGTTGTGGCCTTGGAGACAGCCTGACGAGCAGTATTTCCGTAGGAAAAGGGCAAAGAAGCCCTGCATTGCCCTGCTTGGCGAGGGGGACACTTCCTGGGCAGACCAGAGCCCACCCCCCGCCACCGGTGAGGGGACCCAGACAGTCCCCTTAAGGCCACCCTCCACCGGGGCCTTCTGGGGGCAGCATCCCGAGCACCTGGCACAGGGTCAGCCCACGTGGGTGAGTGAACCCACATGCCCTGGTCTCCTGCACAAACCGCTGCCCCCAGCGGTCAACAGCAAGTCCTGGAGGGTGGCCGGCCTTCCTGAGTGTCCCCAACATGCTCGTGGGTTTCAGGCACAACTCAGAGTCACTCACCGGAGAAGCTGGCGAAGAGACGGCAGAACTGCGAGAACCTGTTGCGGTGCAGCCACTGCTGGGCGTCCTGGATGGAGGCGGACGGGAGCAGGTGCTGCGGGCAGAGAGGGGAGGCCGTGAGACGCGGCTCGGCGCCCCCGGGGCCACCAGCCAGAGAGCCCGGTGCGCACTTACGTCACTGCCCACAGGCAGGGCCTCCACCGGGTGGGTCGGGGAGTTGTTGCTGCAAAGGAAAAGGAAGAGGTGGTGAGGACAGCGAGAGAGCTCCGAGGGACGTGCCAGGGGTCCTGTCACCTGCCTGGCACTTTCACTTCTGGCCAGGTGCGGGGCTTGTTTTAAATGAGATGGGTGCTCAAGAATTCGACGTAAGCAGGAGCCAACGTCCAATCCCCCGAAGTCCCTAGTGAGCACTCCAGTGTGGACAGGAGGCTCTGACAGGCACACTGTCCCAGCCAATGACAGTCCTCTTCACCAAGCTCTGACCCACGGAAGCCCTCGTCAGAACTCCCTCCCACTTGGTCCCACCCACCCAGCCCAAGGGAAGGGGAGGACACGGGCACCCAGGCCGCCCTACCAGCGACTTGGCACCCAGAAGGCTGCAGCCAGACCAAAGGGCCACCGACCACACGCTTTTCTGTGACGTGACAGGACGGGGTGAAAGCCCAGGGCACTGCTCTGCAGCGAATGAGCACCCAGAGTTGGGCGTCCACACATGAGGAGAAACACCGCCCTGGTTCTTCCCAGAAGGGAGGCGTGCAGCCTTCCGCAAGGGCCTTCTCAGGGAGCAGGCGCAGACGTGAACGCCGGGGTTTCAGGAGAAAGACACGCTCCGAACGGCCCTCCCGCATGGACGGCGGTGACGGCCGCACACCAGTGGGAGCGTAAAGCCGCCACCTGAACGCTTAAAAACGGCCAAAGTGGCGGAGTCTGTGTCATGCAGAGTTTGCCAGAGGGGAAGAAGAGAGCCTCTTCTCAGGGATGGCCCAGCAGGGCCGTCATCGGTCATTGGCATCGAACGTCTCCGGGTGGGGAGCGCTGCTCGCACTCCTCGCCCCACGCGGAGCTCACTCCCCTTCCGTAGCAGGGAGGCGGGCCCAGGGAGCTCCAGCACAGGGAGCTCCAGGAGGTCGCCCCTAAGAGGTACAGATCAAGGCGAGGCCTGCCCGAATCTAACTGTGACACTCGTCTCTGTCTACACCCTCCGCCGCAGGAGGACTCTTCACTTCGGTGAGGTCAAGTTCACAGACAACCTCACGGTCGCATTGGAAACGTTCTCTGTAAGCACGGGCTCCGAGGAACCTGCCGCAGGAACGGGCTCCCCTCTGGCCTGCCCGCACCTCTGCCCCTGGCCCGGCGATGCCCTGCAGCCCGAGACAGGCAGAAAACGGCCTGAAGCTCCTGTCCGGCCACCACCATGCCATCTGCAGAGCTTGGCGGGCAGCAATGAGGCCAGCTTGCTACAAGCCCT